CCCCCTTTGTCTACATCACCAACCCATGTCTTTGTCTTGTATTTTCAATAATTGACGTGTCCCGTGTCTTTGTCATGTTCGTGTCATCGTGTCCTATATATGATTATCAACAAATGTCAAAAATCATTGAGTGCTAGAAATATTTTTTATCCTTGAGCACCCCACACATCACTATGGATAAAAAAAGGCAGTTGATGTTTGTATTGAATTTGAGGATATACTATTCAAGCATGCTTTGCATTTAACAAGTTTCATGATGAAAAGATGCAGGACTTATTGATAAATAATTTGGAAATTAATTTTGCAAAATACAAAAAGTTTTAATATAATTTCACTATTTTTATTGATATTAGAATTGGTCACAAAATTGAAAGATTTTAACTGACTTTGATATTGGATACGACTTGCTTGAGAAACATGGTTTGAGGATTTGTCACATTGGAGGAGATAAATCCCGGAGCACAGTTCAGCATTGACAATCATCTTCTCCGATTTTAAGTCCCGAAAAACACACAGGTTTGGATAAAATTTAGTAACACATTGAAGGTCACGAGCCAATTTGCTAATGGACACAATATTACAATCCAAGTTTGGAACATGGAGGATAGAGTTGAGATACAATTATTTAGTAAATTGGATGAAATCTGTTCCAGCAATTTTAAAATTTAAACCATCAATAATTTGGACGTACGAGTAACTACTATTTGGCTTGTACCTTTGGAGAAGAGAAGCATCTCTTGTCATGTGATCATAAGCACCAGTGTCGATTATCAACGACCTCATTTCTCGTCTGTTAGTAGTGAAGGCAATATGTGAATCTGTTTGAGCAACCAAACATGTCCCAATAATGCTACCACTGCTAACTTGACTAAACAGTTTTGACAGCAAATGCATCTATTGTTTGCTAAATGGGCTAGGCTTAGCAACAGGAGCACTCTCAGAGTTGGAAGCCACATATACTTTATTATCTATATCAAACCATGGCTTTGGTTTACAATTAGCTGGTTTTCCATGGAGCTTTTAACAAGTCTCCTTGTAATGACCTAGTTTATATAACAATCACATCACAATTTTTCCTATTTTTTATGATTTCCACTATTATTGTTAGATGATCGGATGACAATGGTAGATGTATCCAATGTTGATGCAAGTTGTTTCTTAGATCCCATCATCACTTTTTCTTTCTACCATCTTCACGCCTAACCTCTAAGAAAGCCTCCCTAAGATTGGGTAGTGGTTTAGTGCATATGATTCGCCCTCGATCATCAGGCAACTCCCTATTAAATTCTATGTAGAACTTGAACAACATTTTTTATTCCACATTCTGCTTGTACATTACTTCATGTTTTGGTCATGTCTATGAATGAGTTTTGAATAAGTTGTTGCCAATACTATGTCAGTATGTGTTGTAAAACCGAGTAACAAATTGCTCTCCTTGGCGTAAGTCATGAAGGACTGATTCAACCTAAAGTAACTTTGAAGTATTTTCAATGGAGTAAATTTGTTTGGCTGCATCCCATATTTCTTTTGCAGTCCCAAACAATCATAAAATTTCACCATGTAATTATTCATGGAATTGATAAGCCATGACATGATCATATTATTTCAATATTCCACTTCATGAATCCTAGTCTCCTAGATTTGTAGTCTCTGATACTCATCCTTTCTTTTACCACAAATGAAAATTAACAAAAATTGTGGCCTCTGCGATTAATTATGTCCATTTAATTTGTTTTTTGTGATGAGAATCGGAGAAGAACCACTACCACCAAGGTTTGAAATTTCTGAACTGCTTCCTGGTTCTGGTGCCATGATGCCAAATGCTTGTGATGAGGTCATTCGTTTGCAAAAAAAAAAAAAAAAGATGAGGGAGAATAATGAATAAGGTTGCTGAAAATATAGAAGGCCTGGACAAATACAGACCAGAGAGAATTAGTCAAAGAGAATCGGCCTGAGAAACAGAGAAGAGATGACTAGAAAGAATTTGCCAGAGAGAGGCGAGCTAAAGAGATTAGGGTTTAGAGAACTTTCTCTGATACCATGAAGAATTTCTTAATTTATCATTCGGTACTACATCAACACATATATATACTAAAAAAGTGTCTATTAAAGGAAATAACTAAGTAGCTTATTTTTTTCCTAAAATTTAGGAAGCAAAATCATAGGATAATTCTTTCTAAAAAAATTAGGAAACAAAATCATAGGAGAAGATCACAATCGATCTCTCCTTTAATTCCTAAAAATACTTTCTTAAAATAAATTCTCGAACTTCTATATATATATATATAATCAACCATCTTTTTTCTATTAGATTTCAACGTTATGACCAACAAATGTAAGCCTGCCACAATATTATCTTTATCATCATTAAATTTAGTGGCATATATGATTTTAATTACTTAAAAAAATTTTATGGTCATAAATTGAATGCGTCAAAATTTTTTGAATAGATGACTTAAATTGCATTACTAGATAATTGAGACATCAATATATATAGACATTCAAATGTTTTGGGATTAAATTTATGGATAAAACATTGCTTTTTTGGTGGAATTATATATGATATCCAAGCATCTTTGTTTTTTTTTTCATGCTTGATGTATGTTGAAATCATTAAGAAAATTGATGAATCAATATTTAAGTAATTTTCATTGTGTAGACAATCAACTAAAGCAGTGGATGCAGAAATCAAATAAGGAGCATAATGTTCATTTTCCTTCCTCAAGTTTAAAAAACTCCATTTGTATTTCTGTATATATTTCGATGGTTGTATTATCACTTATGTTTGCATCTACGGATAAGATGAGGAATGTTGTCTTTTCCATATGATCTGGAAAGTAATTATCTCTTAGTTTCAAGACCTGTCTCTTAGTTCTAGGGCTGTTCTGTTAGTTTCCAGTTTGTTAAATACAAAATATTCGATGGTAAATATTTTCATGGCTTTCTGTCATTGATGATATTCAAATTAGAATTTCTCCTGAATTTGTTAAAAAAGAAACTAACCTAGACTAACCTTTCTAGGTTATCTATATTGGGCATTAAATTATCTTATTTGATAGAATGTAAACCTAGCTGTAACTGATTAACTAGTTTGTTTTTCAGCTCCCTGGTTTGATTTTATTCAATCTGTATATGATCATTTTTGGTTAAGGTCAAATTACATATGTGTGTGTGTGTAGGTATGATACATTTCTGTGGATGAGTAATTCTATTTTGTTAGAGTTGGTTTTGTAAACATCTTAGAAGTTCAATATGACTTTTAAGCTATTTCACCATGAAAATATCTCAGTATGGTAATTTAAGGATCAAGATGCAGATAGGTTGAACTTTATTCAGCCTATGGTCTACCCTAAGTTACAGTTTTCATATAATTTTATGTAAAGGCGATGAAGTGGATATAAGTTGTCATTATTCTCACCCCTGATATTAGAACCTCTCAATAAGTGTGAATTTGGAAGGAACTAAGAGGACTAACAATTTTTTTAAGTGGCGAAGTATTATGTTTATAAGTGTCTAGAAAAATTTTAGGAAGATACAACTAAGAAACATTCTTTTCTCTTATAGATGGAAAATTGATGTAAAAAAGCTATTCATAAGCTAATGGCCTGGAGTCCAGTAGCTTAATCCCAGCCATGTTGGTTCAGCTATTATGAAATTTGATTGATTAACATAAAAATAAGTTTACTATATTGGTAACTATAGACTAGATAATTATAAAATCCAGAAGGCGAAGTCACGGGAACCCTGACTTAAACTTTTATGAACATGACCAAGGGCATCACGATCTCTAACCTATTATACAGAAACTGTAGTCTTCACTTGCTCAAGTATTACATACACAGCATCCAACTTCCTTATTCAATATCCACCTTTTGATCATTAATAGTTGCATATTTTCCGTCCTATGAAAGATGTTAAATTAGATGTAAAACTCTGCTAGAAACTTACACATGGTTACCACAGACTGGCATTCATGTAAATGAATGGACGTCCCATTATTGTACATTTAATTCGGTAAGAAGTTTGTGGTTGTTCCTAAAATGCATTTACTGCTATAAGCTTCTTGCTATTGCCTTGCCATTATAAGTTTATGAATTGGATAGGAATTTTGTTTAGTTGAGCATGCAACCCAAAGATTTGTACTTTTGTAATAACGTAAAAGAGATTTACCAAGTTGGTTCCAGATCTGAGAGTTACGGCGGTAGAAAATGCAATGTTAACAATTCAAGGTCTCTTTCTCTGCCTCTTTAACCAGGCGTTTTCTTTGCATTTCAAAATACAAATTGCTGGATTTTATGACTAATTTTATTTCTTTCTTCTTCCTTTGAACTGTAAATTCTTAAAAGAACTAATGCTCTTAGTGTTAATCTAATTTCCTTTGGCTTTTTGTCACAAATTTTGCACAGATTGTTGTTTGGAGGTTTCTCCAAAGATCTCATGGTCATGATGTACAGATTACAAAAAATATCTTGCTGTTCCTTATATTTCTTCAGTATATCCCGAGATTCCTTAGGCTTTTTCCCTTAACATCAGAACTAAAACGAACTGCTGGTGTTTTTGCTGAAACTGCTTGGGCTGGTGCTGTCTATTACCTTCTGTGGTTTCTGCTTGCTAGCCATGTAAGGAAAAGCTTTCTTTTAACCCATCTCCTTTAAGTGAACTTTCATTTGTTCAACTGAAATTTACTGCTCAGAAACTCAGAGAATCTCATTCAGTGATAATCACAACTCACAATATATCAAGATGCAATGTGTAAATTTTCTCTTAGGGAAATTTGGTTGCAGATATTTAAAATGTAGGAGACTTTTAAATTTAGTGTATTTAGAACATAGTGTATTTTAAATTCTTCTATTTGGTTTGAACTAATAAAAATTAATCTTAAAAAAAAAAACTAGGGCTCAGGATCAACAATGAGGGTGTAGGAGGGGATGGACCGGTTCTCACAAGGTTGGCATCTTTGGGAGCTCGTGGGCACAGGGATCGATGGAGCTGATGGGAGCTCGTGAAGGAAGGATTTTATGAGAGTTCTCTATGGCAGGCATCAATAGGAAATTATGGGTGTAGGCATTGACGGAAACTTAGGGTAGGGATTGACATGAGCTTGCGGGGTTGGGTTTGATGAGCTCGTGGGAGCAGGGATCGACGAGCTTGCAGAGGAAAGGATCGACAGGAGTTCATGATGGTAGGATTTGGCGGTAGCTCTTTGAGGCAGACATCAATGGGAGATTTTAGGGGCAAGCATGCTAGTGGAAGGATGAGCGGATGTGGGGAGAAGCATTTTGCAAATAAAACGATTTTGAATTCGACCAATTTGGACAGGTTTCAAATTCCTCAATAATGAACAAAATGGAGTTTTTGTAGTTCCTTTTCTTCAGACCAATCACTAAAAAATTGGAATGCAGGATAAAAGAGTGCAATACACTTGTAATACTTCTAACGAAACAACTCCTTAGTTAATTGATATTTATGCCGACCTAAAAAGTAGTTGTATGAGAGAAAAATGCTGCCTGCAATAAAGTCGGTCATTTCAGTAGACTGTAATTCAAGGACTTTGTTTTTAATTTCAAATGAACAGATGGGCAAAAAGTTATTCAGAAAATGAACTTGCAATTTGACTTGGAAAGTGCATATGATCCTACATACAAATTCTTAATTTCGGTAAACTGAAACAAAAGAGAGTTCCCAAAGAAGTAAAGAATTTTTAATGACATGTTCATCTTTTCTAAAGTTATCTGTCTTTATTTGTTGTTCAGATAGCTGGTGCATTTTGGTACTTTTTAGCAGTTGAACGTCAAGATGATTGCTGGCGGCTAGCTTGCTCAAATTACAGTGGATGCCTCAAGGATTTCTTATACTGCAGCAATAATCATCCAGAAGGTTTTGATCATTGGTTTAATGCCAGCGGCCAAGTTCTGAATAACCAATGCTCAGCAGATGGAGATAATCCACCCTTTGATTATGGCATCTTTGGACAGGCTTTAACAGCTGGAATCGTTTCATCTAGAAAGTTTGTCGCCAAATTTTGTTATTGTTTGTGGTTTGGTTTGCAAAACTTAAGGTATGACCACTTTTTTGCATCTCTTTAAAATTTCAGAAGATTAATTAAATGTAATCTTTATTTCATCTAATATAATTGCTCAGTGAGCATACCGTTTTTCCCTAGATAGTGAGCCAGTTTCCACAATGATCATTGAACTGTTTAAAGGATTATCTAGGAACTTTCCTTTGGAGAACAAATTTTAATTCTAAATCTGTTGGTTGAACCGTGCTGTATGTTTTGTTCCTTTTTTGCATTAATTGAAATCAGCTATGTAAGCATTTTATCTTGAAACAATGTGCTCCACAATGTCACCTTTGTGCTTGGGTTTTTTACTTAATAGCATAATCTGAAAGTATTTGCAGTCATGGGAACCCTAGATACTTTTTATCTTCTTCGTATGTCTTATTTTAAATCCTAAGGATTTTATTTGTTTGTTATAGTTTCTTTAAAAATGTTTCATTCCTAATTATTGACTTTCCGGTTTCCCTTTATATTCTTTTTGTATTTCTTCCTTCGTCATCATTTCTAACATTGGTCACCAGTCTGCCATGCATAAAGTTCTTCTTTTACATTACTTCCAGAGCTACATATTCAAGATGTTTGCATATAAATACCATATCTAGCAAATTATTAGAACCATGATTAGATTAACTCCATAGAAAATCGAGTAGTAAATGAAGGATTGGTTATTGAAATAGTTTTATGACATAAATTGTTTTTAATTTTGTGTGAGGGAAATTATTGTTGGTACAAATGTATTTTTTTAGCTAGTGGAAGATGAATATGCAAACCATGGTAGATGATAGTTTGGGGCATGATGATTAACATTTCGATGAAATTAGAGTAAGGAGGAAAATAGGTTTTCAAATATTTGTAGCATTATAGGTTTAGATAATATAAAAGTTTGGAAGGATTTTTTTCAAAAGTTCCATTTAATATGATATAATACTTAAAATACTAGGATGGTTAGATTTTTATTAAATTATATAAGCAAAGTAGCAATTCTTTTTATTTCATTAGGTAAGTTTTGGTTCTAGTTTAGTACTTCAGATCTGTTTGTCATGATTTTCATTTTTATTGTAAGTAGAAGGATATTTCAAAGTTTCTTTTAGCTCTAATTCCTTTTTGTAACATAATTTAGATTCCAGGGAACATATACTAGGGCCATAGTGAAAATAGTAAAATTTGAAGTAGCAAGTTGTAAGGTCTATAAAATAAGGATTCGCATAGTTGGGATGAGGCTAATGATGATATGATGATTTATAAGAGATGTTTTCTTGCATAACTAATATTTTAGATTGAATGGTTATATATATATAAGGTATAGCCAATGATTCCCACTAGTCCACATTTTTAAAAACACTACATTTAGGTCCCTGGCTTTTTTAAAATTTCAAGAAGACCCTTTAGCCTTTTTTTTTTCAACTTGGCACCCATAGCATAATGCTATTAGTCCTATAAGTAAATATTACACATTTTATTATATTATACTACTCGTCCTAATTTCATATTTGCTTTGGCGAGGAAATTTGGTAAAAATAGAAAAAAGAAGCAAATATTAATGGATTAAACTATGAGTCCTTTTTAAAAAATGGACAATAAGGAAATGTATTCAAAGAATATGAAACAAAAAGCGTGACTAATGCATGATAGAAAATTCATGCTACATTGCAAATTAATACCCGTGGGCCCCAAAAATTTGAGCTTTAGGGTCCCCGGCCTCTCCCTGTATATTCAGGCAGAGTTTTAACGAATAAAATTCTGGGGAAAATTTTCAGAAGACAGATTAGATAGAGATAAGATATTACCCAAAGATTTCAACCTTCTTAGCAAAGACTAAGATCTGAATTTTGGTTTCCTATAGATGCAATCCCCTATACTTAATTACCCCTCTCAATAATGAGAGAGCACTTTTGATTACTTAGTATCCATCATATAGTAGCAGCATATTTAGATATTTAAAGTTTAACCTTTTAAGTTAGAAATTTACCACCTTGCACTTAAAGCGGATGTTTTGGGAATGATGATGAACCTTATCAAGATTTCATAGTTCCGTCTTCCCGGGTCATCATGGTCCCTAGTCTACTAAATCAAAGCAGGTAGTCGAGCCAACCTGACTGACAGAACTTTGTTAGCAGCCATGGGTTGCTTGATACAAGGGTATCTTGTATACTTGGGTGAGTGTTTATCTAAGGGACGAATTTAAATCAACTTTCGCTAATAGAAGGCTTTGTGCCATATCGATTATACCTTATAACTCATTACTCAATGGGAAGTAGTCATTCGGGAATATAAAGACTTTAGTTATGACCATAATACAGTGGAATCGTTCAACCAAGCCACTATGCCAGTGGTATTTGGTCATAATCATTTACAACATGAAGTAGTCCTAGCCAAGCCACGAGTTATTTGTATAGTCGTCTGGCTAAACCACTGATTACAAAATCAGTCATAATTGTTCACCGCGCAGGGTCGTTTGGCCAAGCTACTAGTTTGGTGGATCCTTCTTGCCAAGCCTTTGGTTAAAGGACAAATATCATGTCCTTACGGGCATGAAACTAATGAAACTATTGAGAATGAATTTGAATGGTATTATCGACTGGTTATTTGCTCTTTATGAGCTAGAGTTAATTTCAAGTTCGTCGCCCTTATCAAATAGTTGCGGAGGTTGGATGAGTTTTGCTTTAAGTTTAAATGATTAAATTTTAATTTTTAATTTTAAATATTAATATTTTGATAGACATTGAGCTTTGAAGTTTGATAGATCTTTGAGAAATAACTCCTTTGGTTGAGATTTACATTCAACATGGCTGTCTTCGGGGTGACATAGTTGTCATTTGAAAATATCTGCATTTTGTAGGAATTTGATAGCATTTAAAAGTTAGTGTCCTCCGGTTGAGATTAATTTCAACACAATCATCACCGGGATGACATTGTATTCATTTGAAAATGTTTGTATTTATTAGGAATTTGGAGGCATTTAAAAGGATAGAATCTCCTCCGATTGAAATTAATTTTCAACACGGCCATCATCAGAGATTGAAGTATTTAGTTATTTGAGAACCTTGTCAACTCTGTTCATTTGCTAATAGAGGATTGAGTTATATTATTGATCTTGTGAGTTATCATATGAACACTAATAATCGAGACTATATATTTTTATGATAAGTTTCCCCTTTGAAGGTCTAATGTGCACTTTAAAATTAAATATCCCAGTAGATTTGTGATTAGGTGTTTGTATGTTAATCCAAGTCATGTCGACTCCATTCTTTTCAAGGAGGATGAAACTTGAATATTTAATCCGCGTAGCATTTTCGGGCCTTGAGTTTAAGAGTTCATAACAACAGTCAGCACATGCGGATATTTATATTTCTTATTAAATTAATATGCATACCTCTTGAGGTAATGACTCGTTTCTCAAGGCAATAACACTCTTCTCAGGGTAGTCGTTTAGATCCCAAGGCTGTTGCACGCCTCCTATGTCACGACCCGGCCCGGATACTCGAACTAACGAGGCGGGTACGAAAAGTCGGACGATAAAATTTCTTAAACATTATACTACTTCATTTGTGCTAAAGAGACACTAAACACAAAAAAAATATATTACCTGATGTCATTTGCATGTCGTCTTCTGTAAACATGTTCTTCTCTTTCAGCCATTTCTTCTTTAGGAACTTACCTGAAACATTTAAACTCGTGGGTTGAGTTTACTAAGTAAACTCAGTGGGTAATTCTCATCCTCATTTAATATGCATGAAATTCACTAAGATAAATAAAGTTTTGTTGACGAATATTTTCGCATCGACTCAACCCCGATCGAGCCCGACCAAGCTCGATCGCGCTCGATCAAATAAATCGATCATCGTCGAGGTGAAATTAATCCAATTAAGCCTCAATTTTATTAAATTAAATCAAATTTAATTTAATTTAAATCAAATCAATCAATTCAAACCCCGTCGAGCGTCGTCGAGCTCAATTCGACACAATTCGACGCATTTCGACGCCGATTCAAGTTTAATTTCATGAAATTAGCTTGATCGGAACCAATCGGACCCAAACCGACTCAAATCGGTT